AACAAATGATACCAAATGTTGGAGAGGATGTGGGGAAAGGGGAACACTCATCCACTGCTGGTGGGGCTGCAAACTGGTTCAGCCCCTATGGAAAGCAGTGTGGAGAACTCTTAAAAAACTACAAATGAACCTACCATTTGACCCAATTATACCACTCCTTGGCATATACCCAAAGAACTAATTAATTCTTAATGGTAATAGTCATTCTTTTTTTGGCATTTTATTTGATTCTCACATGTATTTACTTTCATGCTAAATGAAGCTGGTCTCCAGGCACAGGAGAGATTTATACCCTTGCAGACAAAAAAAATCTTGAATTTCTGGGAGGTCGTCAAGGATGCACAGGAATTCTTATAAAGTTAGAGAAATCTATGTCACAAGCTGTCTCCAAATGTGAGCATTTTTATGAAGACTAAATCTAAAAATCAGTAACATTCATGTTAATCACAATACTAACTTAAAATTTTTGATATGTTTTTATTTTATGTGTATGAATGTTTTGCTTGCATGTTTCAAGGTGTTATCACCTGTGTGTAATGCCTGCAGAGGCCAAAAAAAAAAAAAAAAAAAAAAAAAAGGATCCCTTGGGGCAAGCCCAATATTCTATGTGAGGGAAAGAGGGAAAGGGGGGAGCATGCCAACTGATGCCCAAGGAATCACGAAGGCCACCGAGCAGGCCATTCTTTGTATCTCGGCATGCTTTCAGATATTTTATTTTTATTTTATATATCTGAGTGCATGTTTATAAGTGCACTACTGTTGTGTAGTGCCTATAGAGGTCAGAAGAGAGTGTCGGATTTCCTGGAACTGGAGTTGCAGATAGTTAGCTGGGTGCTGGGAGCCAAACTTGGGCCTCTGTAAGAGCACAGTGCTCTTAGCCACTGAGCATTACTCCAGACCCTTCATTATGCTTTTACAGTGCTCAGCCTGGGGATGCTGTTCACATATTGAGCTGCCTAGAAAAATATACGGTCCAGTTGCCAGAGATGTGGATCCTTCCTTTTCAAATGGGAGAGATAACATTCTGTTATATAAGGTAATTAATGTCCTTCTGTTTTTTAAAATATTTTATTATTTTTATTTTATGTGTATGTATGTATTGCCTGTGTGTAGGTAAGTGTATCTGTGTTGTGCAATGCCTGTGGAGGTCAGAAGAGGCTGTTGGATCCCCTGGGACTGGAGTTACAGACAGTTGTTAGCTGCCATGTGGGTGCTGGGATTTGAACCCAGGTCTTCTGGAAGAACAGCCAGTGTTCTTAACTGCTGAGCCATCTCTCCAGCCTGTCCTTCTGTTTTTTTAACCATGTGATATATTAGCTGTGTGTATTTGTGTGTGTCTTCATGCTCATGTATGGTGTGTGTAGTGTATATATGTGTGTGTGTGGGGGGGTGTATGTGCCTGTATACATGTGCGGAGGTCAGAGGAGGATATATGAACTCTGCCTTATCACTATCCATCTTATTATTCCCTTCAGACAGGGTCTCTCACTGAATCTGGAGCTAGGCTGATGGCCAACAAGCCCAGTGATTGCTCCTGTCCCTAAGCTTCTCACTTGCCCCCAGCACTGGAGTTTCAGGCACACATGTGACCTTTCTTGGCTTTTTTCCTGAGTGCTGACAACCAAACTCAGATCCTCATGCTTGCAAGAGTTCTTACCCACTGAACCATCCATCTCTTTAGCCTCCACATGTTTTTGGAAGTGTACGTAAATATAATTGAAAATAAAAGATCTCCAAAGTTAGGATTACAGCATGTAAGTTCAAATTTTTGTGTGAGAGAAGTTTTAATTGCTTCTTTATGTAAGTGAGGAAACCTAAGAGTCTTGATTATAAAATGAACATCAGCACTGGATACCACAGAACTTCTGGCCTATACTGCCACCTGGTGTTTCAATTTGGATAATTTACTTTTAGAACTGCCCAAGTAAAACAAAAGCCCATGTTGCACATGATTATTTGCCTTTTTTTTTTTTTTTTTGTCTTTTTGAGACAGGGTCTTCCTGTAGCCCCTGCTGGCCTGGTACTGGCTATGTAGAACAGGCTGGCCTTGAACTCACAGAGATCTGCCTGCCTCTGCCTCCCAAGTGCTGGGATTAAAGGCGTGCGCCACCACGCCTGGCTATAAATAGTAATTTTTTTTAGTTTAAAAAAGGAGAGCAGACCGGCGTGGTGGCGCACGCCTTTAATCCCAGCACTTGGGAGGCAGAGGCAGGCAGATCTCTGTGAGTTCTTATTTTGATATATCACAGTGAAAGATTTATCGTCCTCTTTTTTTTTTTTTTTTTTTTTTTTTTTTTAAAAAAAAAAAAAAAAAAAAAAAAAAAAAAAAAAATAAATCACTATGTATTCTGTCCTCTGCATGACATGGGTGCCCCTGCCTATATGCAGGCAATACATTCATACACATAAAATAAAAAATAATAAATTAAGAATTACTATATATTTATTGAATTTTTGTAAATTTCATACAATAATACATATTAATTATATTTAGACTCCCCCCCATCTGCATCTGCCCCATAGTCCCCTGCCCCACTGGATTTCATGCATTATGTCACATATGTTAAGGCCTACAGAGTCAAGTTTGTGTGCACAGATGTCCCTGGGTGTGAGTTCATTCACTGGAGTCTGGTCAGCCTATCTGGCATCACTCCCTTAAAGAAGAGTGACACTGTCTCATCTAGCACTGATAAGTTGTCAATAGCTCCTCAGCTAAGGTTGGGGCTTCTTACCCATTTCCCCATTTCTATGCTGGGTTTTCATCTGGTTTGAGTTTGCATGGGTTTTATGCATGCTGTCACCATTGATGTAAGTTCATTTAAGCAAGTTCTCAGTCACCTAGAAAACTCTGTTTCCTTGTGGTCATCTACCACCCCTAGCTCTCACAGTCTTTCAGGCTCTTTTAAACACTATGAGGATTATCTAAATCTGCCAGACACAACAGTTTTAGGGCTACGGACTTGATACTAAGCTTATCTGGGACAGCAGTCTAAAAACAAGCTACATCTTGGCTCCTAAAGTTAGTGATCTGTCAAGGAGCTAACACATTCTCCTAGCTACTTGGGCAAGTTTTCAGAGTTAAACTAGTTAAATCAGAATGTGTTGCAGGAGACAGTGTCCAGGATGACATGGGTAATAGCCATTTTTTAACGGTAATAGGTCTCTAGCTTAATTGGTGGAATTAACACAGCTAAGGAAAGACTGTACCAACTGAAGGGTGGTTAGTATGGACAGCTCTTTTCAGAGATACAAATTTTATACCAAGTGTACAGAACTGTCTGGAAGAGAAAGATGTTAAAACTTGGGTCCCGGGTGATTTAGTCTTCAGGAGAGTTAATCTTTGCTATGCAGCCAGGATAGCCCATCATGTCGTCCCATGATCTGGATGAAATAGTCTTCAGGATAATTTACTTCTCTTTGCTAAGTAATCTCCTCATAAATAATTCATCTTCTTGGGCATCCTGAATCCTTGCCTTATATTGCAGACACAGACATTTCAGAAACTAGAAAGGGTTGTCACTTTCTAAGCTAATAAATTGTCCCTCGTTTTATATTTCAGTCGAGTATGAATTTATTCTTGTTAGCCTATCACTGCTCTTCTGATCATTTCCAAGTGTAGTTAGTGATCATCTGTCTGTGCTGGATGGCCAAGACTTTCTGTATTCACAGGTGAAAGCCATCTCCTGAGGCCTAAGCATACTGTCTCCTTGACATTGCTCCCTACCTTTCAGTGCATGCTCTCTGGGAGGAGAGCACTGAATTAAAAGTAAGTGTAAAGAGAAACAATAATTAGAACCCAAGAGAAGAGAGTTGTTTGGAAGAAAACCTAGTACACTAACTGTAGGGGAAGTATTTCCACAGACACAAAATGCTGGCTGATATCAGAATGTCCAATAAGAACTGAGAAGTCAGAATGAACTTCAGAAAATAAATACCAGAAAGGCAAAATAAATTAAAATAGAAGAAACACAGGCATTTTGTTAGGATAGTTGAATGGTCCTCTACTATTAATTAGGATATTAATTACAATGGGTAACTCCGTATCTATAGACACACATTTCACAGCTGTAGGTCCCAGAATCTGTGATGATACACGACTGAAAGTTCAAACACAACACAAGGACACTGCAGGGACTACGGATTATCCAAGGCTATCTAGTCCTGTACCTGGTATATATCACATACTCAATTCGTGTCTTTGGAACAAATCATCTTTAAAAAGTAATTGAGAACTTCATCTCTCAAGTAAAAACAGAAGTGCTACAGGAAACAAAATGATAATTTTGACATATCAGGTCAATAAAGATGAAAAGCCTGACAGTACTTTTGTGCTAGTGTGTAAAAGACAGCTATCTTCTTATACTTCTGAGTAGATTCTGAATTGGTATAATGTTTTTGGAGGATGACTTCTGAAACATAATATTACAAACTTAAAGAAGTAATTTAATCTTGAAGACCAAGTGGATAATGGATATTTGCAAACATGTATAATATCTCAAAATATAAGTACTTAAAAATCTAATATCAGAAGAAAAAGAGATGAATTACGGTACCCACTGTCAGTATGCTACACAGCCATGACATCTGCATATCTAGAAGCTTTAGAATAGGCGGTGACTACAGCTATTACTTCAGTATATGAAGGCTACTAAAAGCATACATGAATTTCCTAGAATAACAAAATTTTAAACGGTCTTATTAATGAGCAGAAGAATACACGAAAAGTTCAATGGAAATAAAATACCATTAAAAGCCCTTTTTATAGGAGTTGAATGAGTGACATACATCTAGTCAAAGACTAGAGATACATGTCCCAATTTTGGCAATGGCATTAGCATTGAAAGTCCTTTGTTAATGTTTATTTTTTCATTATTGTGTGAAATGTCAACTCAAGAGACTGTCTATATTCATGAAATGGACATGACTGTTACAGAATCATGTGGTGACACCTTAGCTGTCTTGATAAACTTTAATATGCAAATGGTGCCAGATCTGTTTTTACAATGTATTTTTACACAGGGAACTTTGAGCTGATTCTCACTGACTTCCTCTCTCTCAACATAACTGACATTCTCTCCCCCCTTATTTATCTAACTATCGGAAGAAGCACTTATAACTAAGTAAAATCCAAGTAAAGCATCTCTTTGGTTAGAATCCAAAGTCCTGATTCATAATGCCATATAAAAACTTACCTTTTTGGTTTCTTTACTTGATCTGAATGTCTGCTGAACAAAAGAATCACTTTCAATTGCTTCAATTTCTTTTACTCTTTTTACTTGTTCCACCAGGGTAATTTGGTCTAAAAAAAAGAGAGCATAATGTCAGTGTGTTTTGGTGTAAGCTTGTTACCATCACTACACCAATGTTAGTTTATTTCTTTTCTAGAAGAAATTTTACTACTTAGAACATTTCACTGGTTGAAAATAAAATACATTATAGTTAAGCTATAATAATTTCCCCCTTGAGTCTCAAAAATATAATATGCTTAGGAATTAAGACTGTCATCTAAAATGTAAAACCCAGTGAGGAAATGTTCCTCTTATGATCTTGGTGATCTATGCTGATCTTGTGGGAAGGCTTCCCCTCTAGTTTTATTTTAACATTTTATTATGGAAATATAATTCCTTTTGTATAAAAGGAATAAAAGATAACAGATAACCATCACCCAATTTCCACAATCACTAACTTTGTTACTCTTCGTCTATGTAGTCTCATCTTAATATTTGAGTGGAAACCTGGATATACATACATACATACCTACATATACATATATATATATATGCAAACCCCAGACAATACTGCTTCCTCTTAATAGTTTAGTAGTCCCCTCTAACAGATAAAGAATTAAAGCCAATAACAATGTAACTGTGATATTTTTTTTCAAGCCTAGAACAGTTTCTTAATATAATTTACATGGTCCATGTTTAATCTTCATTGGCTTAAAAAAGGTTTCTTTCTTCAGTAGGCATGTTTGAACAGGATACAAACAAGGAACACACATTACAATTGGTTGATGGCAGCGATTTTTAATGTTTGTCCATCACTCACAGCCTACCATCCTTCCCTTTCATTGTCATTTATTTACTGAAGAAAGTGGTTTGCTTATTTCACAAAATTTCCTGCTTTCTGGATCTGGCTGGCTGTACCTCATGGTATACTCAGTGTTTTCCTCTACTACACATCATTTGTGCAGACCAGTGTGGAGAGATCAGTTTCTTTTGATGAGAAATTCAGCACTGGTGCTGCTGAGCACCTCCTCTTACATATGAAGGTGCACGTCTACCACTTTTAGTGGTGTTCTGACTGATTGGCGGGCCCAAGGTGAGGCTCAGTCTGACCTTTCCATTATAAAGTTCTTTACCAATTTTCCAATTAATAGTTCTAGTAACATTAATGTTTGCTTCCTAGATCAATTATTCCATTTAAGGCTGTAAAATTGTAATTTTCTAATATTATTATTCTTTTATTAGCTTTGATTCTTCTACAATGGAGAACTTTCCCTCATTAGCTGTTTGGTGGTTGAAATACAGCCTGAATTACAGGGTCCCAAAAATGTCTGATTTCTTCTTTTAAATTAAATTAATTATTATTTTATGTGTGTGCATGATGTGGGTGAACGCAAGCATACACATGTGCACTACAGCATGTGTATGGACATCAGAGGACGACTTTTGGGAACTGGTTCTCTCTACTGTGGGATTTACGGATTGAACTCAGTCAGGTTGCAGGTTTGTGCACAAGCACTTTTACCTGCTGAGCCATTTCATTGACCCTCATTTCTTTTCTTTATTTGGTATTTTGGGTTCAAAGGTGACCAAAGGTGCCATTATGAATTCAGAATATTTACATATCTAATACATTTCAACCCATGGCAAGGGCTTTCCTATTTTGATGCTCAAATTGCTTCAACTTTGGATGGCTCACATTATGCGGCATGATTCTCAGTAGTGAAGACACGCTGAGAGGTTCCACAATCATCTTGTACAATTCCTGTCCCTGAAGTGAATTAGTCATTTTTTTTCCATAGAGTCCAGCCTTCTTTACTGTGGAAGAGAGCTAGAGTCAATAGCCTAGGCATTGGGCATGCTCACTGATGCTGAACTGTCATTGCTTCTGAGTCTTCTTGGTGTGTAGGAAGGAAAGATATTTCAGGAGAGAAAAATTAATATCATGCTGAATACTATCAACCAAATTATAAATTTGACCGATAAATTATAAATTATGATTTTAACTTTAAAATTTTACAGATGCATATCTTCTCATATGCTAAAAATCTTAAGCATTAGCAATAGTCAAAAGTATCCATCTGTTTACCTATTATGTTTTAGTTTCAAAATAATAAGACAGCCATTTCCATTAACAACAAGATGTATGAATGCAGTTAAACATGTCTTTATAGTCTTTCTGACCTTAGGATTTACTCTGTTGATGAACTGTCAAAGCACTATGCTCTAAGGCCACTTGAAATAGTTCTCCATGTGCTTAGGTTATCCATTCAACTGAGTGAGATTCATTTGCTTCAGTTCATTTTTGATTTTAGGTCTAGCTTTGTGATAGCCCTAGCTGGCCTGGAACTCACTATGTGACCAGGCTGGCCTTCAACTCAGTCTCATAGAGAGAGATCTGCCTGCCTCTGCCTCCCCAGTGCCTGGGATTAAAGACATGTATCATCACATCTGGCTTGTGTTTTCTTTTTTCACATATTACCAGGTAAAAAAATTATGATATGGTTCAAATGCTTGTTGTTCAAATGTTTGCTCTCAGCTGATATCAATACATGGCTGTACTGGGGGGGGGGGACGGCCGTGATAACTAGTTTGATGAAAGTGTGGAATTATTTGCATCAAAGTCATTTTTGCATCCTAGAAGGTCTATGGTAAAATGCTCCAGTGCTGCTATAGAGATAACTATAAAAGCACATAAAAGAAATTCTTTTCAAAAGATTTATAAAACTTAATGTCTTAAAAACTTTTGTCTCAACTTTTGGCCAATCACACGTTATGACTGTATAGACTGCACAGGCATCAGTCGTCTGTGGGTAAGAGGAGCTCTCTCAGAGGAGCTGATTCTTCTCATTGAGAAGTTGTGTGTAGACTAGCAGCAGCCACACAACATGCCCACTTTTGAATGAACACATTTTTCTTTACAAATTTAAGCACTGCCAGAATGCCACAGAGCAGCAAGTAGTTCCTTTAGCCTTAGACTAAAAGCTCCTCTATATTTTAATTATGTGATGTACTGAGCATATGAAAGATTCTTTGTCTAGCTAGTGTATTAATATTAACACACTCCTTACTACTGCATAATTTATACATTACATGCATGGACTGTTACTATAGCCAAGAAAAGTTAAAAAAAAAAGGAACCAACTTTAATGCCTACTTGTAAACAACATGTTTTGTATGGGCCCAGTTAGTTTTCTTGAGATTATTTCACCATCACTAATTCCTAACAAAACCTTATTTCTGACTTCAGGATGATGGCTCATATGTATTAGCTGTTGCAGCTCCTGGATTTCTCTCTAACATATTCTCTCATTTGGATTTGCAAAGCACATCATTAGTATTAAATGTCAGAGGTGAACTTACAAACAGTACTGATCTTGAAAGCTTGTGTATTTGCAGCTTTAAATTCAGAAATACAACCAGTGCCTAATACAAACACATGTGGTATCACAGAACCCAGCCAAAGGGTCAGTACGCTTATTAAAATAGCACTGTAGAAATTATAAAGGAGAGAAGAAAGATTAGAGAAAACAGAACGTTGTCTTTGTCTTTTTTTTAAAAAAAAAATCACCCCAGGACTAACAAGGTGACAGGGCAGAGGAGGCCAGCTTGCCCGGTTTACAGTATGAAAACAAACCAACACAGCTTTCATCTTGTAACACCGAAACTACACTCAGCAACAGTGGTATTTAAATTAAAAAACTGAAAGATAGATGGGAGATTTAAATTTCCAGTTTTATAATAATAGCTCAGCTCTATGCTGCCTGAAAACAGTAGACATAAAATATTTTAAATTGCTTCATACTCAAAATTCTAGTATCAGTGCTTACAGTTTAAGTTTGAGCATAACCTTGTCATTTTAGGAAGCAAAATGAACCACCACCACCAATGTGTACACACACACACACACACACACACACACACACACACACACGCCATTCGAAGTCTAGTATCTTTGTTATTCATTGTTTTATTTAAAAATTCTGAACAAATTTAAGAAACATAAAAGTGACTCAAACCAGTTGTTTTTATGCGATCAGATGAATTCATGTAAAATATCTTATATAATATCCTATAAAGTATCAGTTATGAGGAAAAATTAAAAACAACAAAGTTATTGGAAGTGGGACCTTATGGCATAGGCCCATAATCCCAGCTACTTGGGAGAATGAGACAGGAGGATCATGAGTTCAAAGCCTGCCTGGGATATACAGTGAGCTCAAGGCTAGCTTGAGTAAGACAGTAAGACCCTGACTCAAAACAAAAAGGACAGTGGGGAGAGGGAGGTCTGGGCTATAGTTTAGTGGCAGAGGTCCTCCCTGGGCTTTATACTCAGCACAGTAAGACTAAAGTTTCTAGAAGAATAAAGATGAAAGGATGTTTAAAAACATTAGTATGGGAAACAGGAAGGAAACATGCCCAGTAGCACTTAGTGATTTTTATAAGTATGTTATTGGTAAATAAAATGAATTGTTTTACAGATGTCAGAAGAAATGTATCTCCTGGTTTAAAAAAAAATGAAAGCAGAAAACCATCTTACTTGAAATAAAAAATGACTATGGCCTCATCTTATAGAAAATAATTTTGTTCTTTCTGTAATAAAATGTTTTATTAATTACTGTTGCTATTATAAATTAGGCTTTCCTGCTACTTTGCTATACTTGATAATTTTTTGTTATAGCATTTATGTTTTCTTTTAGAATATTACAAAATGATACACAAATTAAAAATTGTTGACTAGGAAAGATGAAGTTCAATGCAATCTTTTCACTTGAAAAGACCAAGTTTTAGTCTACACCGCAGTTTTAGATTACGGACACAACCGAGTCCCTAGTAATAGCAGTCCTAAGCTGGTAACAGCAGATGGCACTATTGGCCAAGATGTAATATTGGGATAAAGGCAACTTGTGTTTCATCAAAAATACTTTAAATACATGCAAAGAGCTCATCCTCAACTGATTCCTTCTAAATATTAATATTTTATGAACTTACCCAAAGTTAAAATGCATTTTATGTTACAAAGAATTTGGGTCAGTTGGCCCAGGTTATTGAGTTATTTATGATACTGTTCCAG